CGCATGGTGAAGTAGGCGCTACCCGGCTATGGATGACCCGGCTATCATGGCTTCCAAACCTCACACTACATTAGCGCCACCAGCCACTCTAGGTATGAAATATAAGATCTCTATGGGGCGACTTGTTTGCAATCGCAGCTGCCAGTTCTCATCCGTCCTTCGTAGCGAGAGGATCCATTCGGAAACGGAGAAGCAGTGCGTGGCGGTATGGACTAGAATGTTAGCTGAAGTCGTTTAATGGCTATTCGGCCAATGCGGTAGGTCGTACTCTCATCTATATATTCCAATGAACCTAGCACGTTCTTCTGCATTGAACAGTCATGTGTCGACCGAACTCTACAGAGCCGGGTTCGCCTAATCGCCCAAACGATCGCTTTAATCTTTAGCTTGGCTTACACGGTCGAAAGGTTCGTGAAAATCGCCATCGTCATCATAGAGGGTGAGTGGATGGTTCAAGGAGATATGTGCATTCCTAACGGGAAAGAAGACACTCGATAAATCCTCAATTAAAAATTTCATAGGAAACGCTGAAAATCCGATGATTCGCCAGGCTGAATCGATCACAAGGAGGAACTGAAATTTTCAGTGATTTCTCTCCTCAACGAGGAATACGAAGGGCTTGGGCTGATTGATGAGAGTGTTGCGAGAACCATCGGCTTTGGGGTAGGGGCGTCCCGTCGTGGTGCGAAATGTTAGTTTTTGCATGAAGATGGTCACGAACAGGAAGAGTTCCATTTGAGCCAAAGACTCGCCCAGGCATTGACGCTTCCCTGTATGAGGGCATTATATATGAGAATAATATTGGTGTATGATGTGTGCATAGTTAATCGAACAGCAAATGACTTACCGAGGGAGAATGGAAGGAAGCTGGGAACTTTGGTCTTCACGGATCCATCTGGATTCAAGAATCGTCCCGGATCAAACTTTTCTGGATCGGGCCAGAAGTTGGGGTCCATGTGACACGACCAGACGTTTGCTAGGAATGTCGTCCCCTGTGAAAGAAGAACGGAAACCACAACGATCGCACTTCCTCGGCAAAACAGCCTACAACCCCAGAAAAATGAGCGGTCTCCATCAGATTTGAAAGAAATGAACGAAAGGCAGACATGCTTAATTTCGGCAGTCAAAAAAGTTCTAAGCCTGAGGAACTTCAGTTTGCAATTCGTCATTCTTTCTCTTCTCGTGATAAGACAGATGTCTTTGTTGGTGACTGGCAACATTTCATCTTATTTGTCGGTTAAAGAAAGCTTCTACGAATTTTTTCAGTGAGCCACTAAAGGGTCTGTTGAAGGGGCATTAACATCGAGAGGCTAGCTGTGGTGAATTTCTGTAGGGAGTGATTTAGCCTGTAGGGAGTGGATCTCGCTGCAGATCTTTCATAGAAGTATCAGTAGGACTCTGTCCTCTTGGCTACTGTCATCATGGAAGCATCGTTTTGTTCTTCCCCATGCCCACGAGCAGAAGACACTAACAGCGCAGAAAATCCTTGAACTAACTTCTCCGGAAATAGGAGAAGAGTAAATCAGAGTTGTCATAGGTTGTTCCAATTTCGAGCATTCCCCTTTCCATCCGTTTCCATTCGACCGAATTTGACTTCATTTCAACACGAGGCAACGTCGAAATTGACTTTAAGGCTGAGGTATGAGTTGGCATTAAAGAGTTCAACTCTGTAGCTGAGTTTCACTCTTGAACTCCGAACGGATAGGAGAAAACTCCTTGACAACTGAAAGACAGGCACGTTAGACGCCTGTCTCTCTACTTGCGGCATTGTATGGAGCGTCATCGGCAGTTGCGGGCGAGATACAGACGTGAAAGGAAGGAAGGTAGCGGTCAATTTCCATCGCTTTTGAAAGCTCATTAGTAGGGCTGTACCGATTCACCGTCTAACACCGGTATCAGTCGCCGGTGTTGCACTATCGGCACCATCAGCCATCGGCCTATGGCGACGGTGACGGTGCCGGTGCCCAATGGACGGGCAAAGCGAAAAAAAAACTACGTGAGAGTGTGAACGCGGCTAGGCGCCGGCCATCTCACTAAAAGCCATTCCTGCCAGCCTCTCCCAGACAAAAATGTTGGATTATGTTACATCCGCAATATAGTAACCGGAAGGAGAAAGTAACGGTAAAGAACGGGAAATCATTGCATCTCCATTTAGGTTATGTTTTTGGAAAGGATGTGTCAGTAAATGCTCTCAACCGCAGCAATGGGTCTCAAGATAACCTCTGACAGCCTCAAAGAGAGACGGACAGGTTGCAGAGGACCAAAAGTCATCTGTATCGTTTCAAGAAGGCCTACTGATAAGTATCACCTGACTTACAATTAGGCCTATTCGAATCTAAAGGCGATTTCTTTTACAGGCCACAATTGGCACCGGCACCAGCACCGGCTCTGGCCGATGGTTATGAGGAAAAAATCGGCCATTGGCCCACCGGCCCTACGAGATATGTGATCACCCAGTCAGTAATTTATCCCCACGCTAAGTGTGGCTTATCACCGAAGTATGCATGGGTTACAAGCATGGGCCAAGTACATCAGCCCACACATGCATCCATGGGCCGTAGCGGAAATGTCCGAGTTATCTGTGGCAACCTCAACGGTGGGACAAATGTAGCTTATGCGTGAGGCACGTTAGTGACAAAAATAACCTGGCTGGTCGGTCAGCACGTGGAAGCATGGCATCAACGTGGCGCATGTGTGGGCCGCTTAAATGTCCGCTTTTTCTGCTGCAACCTTCTACAATGGTGGAGAGATTTCTACTTATATTACTAGTACTGCTGGCACTCGCATAACCCCTTGCTCAAGCAAGAGTTTGACCCATGGATGGGCAGGAGGCATAGGATATTACAGGAGTTATTCTACCCCTGAAACGTACTAATTATAGTATATTGCATTATAGGATGCTACCGTATTCATGAAAGCATCTTCAAATTTTTTTCCACTCGCCTTCAGTCGTATATCGGGTATGTGCGTGGAACATCCATGTATGCCAAGTGAGGGCCTAGGGTGCAAAAGTTTCCTGTGCCATACACGGTCTAACAACCAAACAGCCACATAAACGCCGCTGCTGCCGCACAAACGCCGATCTATGGCCACACATGCGCTGCTGATTGGGCACTGGTATAGCTCCACTTATTAGTGATGACCTCGGCCTTCACCGATCGTTCGGAGCAAGAACGTGGACTTCGACTGATCCCATGATGCCACGCTCCAAGTCGCACAAGTTCATGCGAATAAAATGTATCTATGGGAAACATATGTTCACATCCTTGCATATTCAAGCAAATCTGGGAAAGTACTATAGAGAAGTAGCTAATCACCTTAGGGATAAGGAACCCGGCGACTTCCGCATCTTCGATGGCCTCGTGCGGCAGCGCGTAGGGAACGAGACTCGCCAGCCGGTGCGTCTCCATTATGAAAGCTTCGGTGTAAGGCATTCTATATGTCATGAGGCAATAAGAAATGTATATAAAGAAGAAGAAGGAAGTAAGACTGATAGTTTCCAAGATAGCAAAAAGAGCCAAGAAATGAGGCTCGTAAGCCTATATCTTAAAAAAAAAGAATGTAAGTTTTAAAGATTCTATGAAACCCCATTGAAATAGAATTAAAGATTTCTATTTCCATTCAAACGGCCCTGTATTGCTGGAAACGAAGTCGGAAATTGGCGACGGAGTAAGATATCTCAAAGGAATGTTTGACTATATCGTACATTTAACGAAAGCATCATTCCAGGCTCCTTAAGATTGAGAGTCTGTAAACTTCTCATTTAGGTTAGGGGACTGGATATATGGCGGTTCAATTCCTGCCGAAAGACTTTTCTATAAGCATTTTAAAATTTACTTTTGGGGTCAAAACCCGCTAAGAATTTCGAAATGAACTGTTTCAAGTCAAAACCTGTGTCGATCGTCGAGCGATGGAAGTCTGTCACGCCCGACAACGTTGTCAACTTCAGCCTGAAGTTTCTCCTGAATTTCAGGGTGGCAGAGGAGAAACAAGACGCACCACCGAATGGTATTCGACGTCGTCTCGCTCCCGGCGATGAACAGATCCGAGATGTTCGCTTCCAACTGGAACTCTACGATGGATACGAGCTACTTCCAATTCTCTCCTGCATCCCTTCCTCGATCTCTAGATTTCCAACTATACCCGAGAAGTTGGGGTTGACCTCCCCTCGAGCCTTCTGCTGTGCCATTTCCGTGAGGTAAGCGTCGATGTAGTCGTTGGAGCCTCCTGCCAAGGGCAGTTTCCTCTTGTGTTCCTCCACTTCATTCTTGGGAAACAAAGCCTGAATGTTATTTTCTCGCTACCAGGTAACGGAAACACTACACAACTGAAACAAGCAGTAGTGTTCCGGTTACATTTTATATTCAGGAAAATCTTCTAAATACCGAAGGACTGTTTTTAGCAGTGTGAATACATTAACGTCTCAACATCGGAGATCTCATGGGGTAGTTAGATTTCCTCATCGTGTTTAAAGATTAGATTTTCAGATTTTTATGTGGTTTGCACCTATGAAAATACCAGGAATCGTTTGGAGCAATTCCTCTTTGGCTTGAAGATGCAAGTGACTAAACGTTGAAGGAGAATTCACAAAGAGAGAATTCCGAGATAAGTAGACGGCGTAATAACGCCGTAAAAGGGTTCAATTGGAGTTTACTCTCTCTTTAGTAAAAGATTATCTGTGATCCATACGTTCTCGGACTCAGCCGTTACCGTCAAAGACCTTTATGGTGCCACATCAACATCGTGAATGACTGAAAGAAGTTCATGATTCAAGATGTTTTTCGTTTTCATTTTATTTAATGAGACGACCTTGGAGAAATGACTTTGGGAGAACTTTATTCTAAAATTTCGAGGCAGGATAGAGAAAACGTTATGTTCTTTGTACGCAAACCTAAAGTACTTGAGGTACCACACCATCCCACCCCAAGGTGTTGGGGCGACTGGCGTCTCCAGCAGCACCGAATACTCTGGTCGGGTTAAATGATGAAATCTTAGCTAACGACCAGGGGATGGGGCCATTTCGCGGGAGTCATGCACCCAACTCTAGTAGCACATAGCATTGAATAAACATTGAACCCATGTTGATTCAATGTTATGTGCTACTTGGGAATAAGCCGAGGAAATCGGCCAACCACACACCCTAAAAATGGAAATAATTGGACTCGGCTGAACGTGCCTCTACTAGTTACATACTGAGAATGTTTTCCTTATGGCAGCCATGTTCCGGGCGATGCGTCGAGATGCCAGGAACGACGGAGGCCACAGGAACGCCAGCAGAGGAGTCCATTGAAGGTGGCGGAGGATGTCGGAGTCCATGAAGACTCCCATGATTCGGTTCATGAAGTCTTGCATCTTCGCGTCGTCGTGAGAGAATTGCTTGTCTGTGAGGCAGAAACATAAATACATTCATTTACATATTTTTTAATAAAATAATTATTTCCAAAATGAACTCGTTCGCGAACCTGCAGTCATTTTCCAAATGATGTTGAGGATAGCGAGGTTGAGGCGGGGGCCAAGATCTTGCGGTTCCTGTCTATTCTCTATGAGGAATTTGCAGAGATCGACGGCGGCATCTTGGATCATGGAATCCATGGCTGCCTTCTTCCCGAAGCCAAAATCCTTCAGAACTCGAATTGTGAAGCGACGATTTTCTTGCCACAGGCTTCCCGACGAAAAAGCAATACCTGATATGCGAATTTTATGTCCCGCAATTGCTGGGTTTTAGGAAGGTTAACCAATCAATTCGATTATGACTTGTCTCTCCTTCATTGCTCCACTTTCGAATATGTTGCTATCTTCATGCTCCTTTGGCAGATATAAAGTATTTACGTGTAAATAATTCTGAGTCGTCGTCAGTGTGAAGAATGCATGAACTTTTTCTCCGCTTGATGTTGAATTCGGATTCACAATCACTTTAGCCCTTTCAGTGCTGAATTTAAAAATATAAATAACAGAAAAAACAAATTTTCCTTATTCAACCGTTCCCAGTGAAACTTCATAAACCACAAAAATACAAATTTCAAAGGAGGTCACTGGAGGTCCCGCCAGGACCAAAACGGTCAAGCCAAGAAAATTTAATTTACTTGAAAGTGAAAGGCTTGGGAGTAATTTATTTTCTATGGTGCCTCTTCTTGAAATGAAATTCACGGCACTTGGCTTCATGTTGGCGAAAAGTGTGACTATTGCAGAGGAGTAGGTCATGAGTCGGCATCTCGGCTTATCCTTAGCCCTCTTTATATCCCCATATATTAGGGGGGGAATTAAAATGCAGAGAATGTACCATTCTTGCCGAAGAAGATTTGTCGAGATACAGCGACCTCGGTTCGACCGGAAAACTCTGCCCGTCCGAAGATCTCCCGGATCAATTCCCAATTGCCGAGAATCACGAGGTCCTTGGAGAGCACCCCGAGGGTGTAGATGTCTCCGTATTTTTTCCTCAGGGCATCGAGCGCGTAGGGTTGACCTCCGTCCAAGAATGGGGCAGAGCCAAGAAGTGGAACGCCCCATGGTCCTGGAAATGTGGAATTAATACACAACTACGACTTGATGCTTGAACCTGAACTCACTCGAAATCGGGCAGGCGACTCAGGAAAAAATCGAACAAATGACCCCAGAGAAATTTACTCGCGCTAGTATCGGAATGAGAAAGAACGAGGCAGAACGTCTTCTCTTCTTCACTCAATATTGAAAGGACGATTTCACTTGAATGTCCTTTTCGAATTCCGGATCAACTGACAACATCAGATAAAAGGAACTCCATTCGATATACCTGGCGGGAGTTTGGACCAAAGAAGAAGCTTTTTCACAAATAGGTGCAGGAGATACACGAGCAAGCAGGACGCTAACACGATGGTGACACCCATCCTTATCGCCAATGCGATATGAAATGTCTGAGTGTAATTCCAAGGACGGCCTCGCCGGCGCAGCCTGTGTCCGCAGAGATAAATACTTTCCTTGATGCGTTCCAGATATACAGGGTGGCCACAAATTATGGCTTGTAATTTTTTATTTATTAAGAACACATACGGGACATTTTTTTCCTACAATACAGTCTCCCAACATCCAAATATTTTCACATGTGGTCACAGGTGCATATCCTGGTCGACAGCATTCGAGATTCTGTCCTTGAGTTTCTCTATGGACCTGGCAGAGGGGTAACTGAGTCCTTGACTTAGCCCCCAGAAATGGAAATGAAGGGGTTTGATGCCGGGTGAACGAGGAGGCCAGTGATAGGACGCGTTTTTTCATATGCGAAACAGCTAAATGCACGTTCACTTCCACTGAACTCCGCCATAACTGTTCGCCCGATCGTCACGCCACTAGCGACAAAAGTATGAACCTTCATCTACGGGGGAAAAACTTGAACGTTGGGAGACTATTTTTTAGTAAATAAGTTTTCCGAATGAGTTCTCAATAAAAAATTAAAAGCCCTCCAATCCGTCCGGTAATTTGTGGCCACCCTGTAGAGGAAGAGGAAACGTTTGAAAATATTGAAAATAGATCCCCATCCTCCAAATCCGCTTTTTTAAGATCCTACCCATCCAAGGACAATGCGAACCTAATGCTGAGATGAGAAAGAGACATCCTGTTTCCCCGGAAGCAGAAGGACACCGACGCCATTTCCTAATAGGTTAACTTCACTCCACGGACCCTTCGGCAGTGATCTTGATTTGGATTCTTCCTCGAAAACAGGGGAGTCGTTGTCTCATGGAGTAATATGACCTCGTATACTTTCTTGTGTCCATCACCCTGCTCAGAATTATCCTGGGTCTTGTTTGGCTGTGTTGCCACATTGGTCGAATAGATCCAGGAAGTCAAATTCCTTCCCAGGCGTCGCTTGTGGAGAAAATCTCAAGTACTGTTCCAAAAGTACTAGAGACGCGTAATGATTGCATATATATGGCAATTAACCATATTGGGCAAGTAGTCGCCATCTCAGTTCGCAGACAGGAAATCTTGTTTGTTCGCATGTCTCGCCAGATGTCTCGCCAGATGTCTCGCCAGACATCTGTTGATGTAACGTTGACCGGACAACGTTCTCTCAATATTGATCTTTTGAACATCGAATCAACATTGAATGAATGTTAAAGGATTCATACCCTAATGAAGCGTTGTTTTAATTAATATGTGAGCAATGCGGCCGCGGTGAAGTTGTTTCACGCGAGTCTGTCCTTTCTTCGGATAACCTATATTACTATAGGCATTCACCATACTCAGATAATCGTGTTAGTAATAAAAAATAATAAAGCAATAAAAAAAACAGATTCATATGGGAAATACTACATGAAGACCATGTACCATCAAGACCGTCCCAGAAAACACTTTTTGTATTATTAGTAAGGAAAATAGGAATGATTTTAGCAGCCATTACAGTTCAAGCTTAATTAAAATATATCTAGCTAGTGTCGTCACATCATTTCTCCTACACCAAGCCCTTGATGACATAATGAACACGTCGGTGCCTATTTCCGGAAATAGGTCTGACACGGTAAGGTTTTGAATCGTTGCTCCTAGTTACGCGAGCCGAAAGTGTCATTCTGCTTGTTTGGTGCAACGAAATTCGAGTGCCTTTCAGGCACTGTCTTATTTGCTCAAAATCGAATGTTCCTCTTGAAAGAAATATCTCCTGGTAGATCGGCTGAAGCAATTAAGTAGTTGCAAACACTGATGGAGAAAGCATTTAAAAAAATCATTTACTGCATATAATACTTCGACCGTGAATGGTCTAGAATTGAATGAATGTTGGCCCAAAGGGGGTGTATCAACGGTGACGGTCACGCGTTTTTATTGAGACAATTTCACAATGTCAGGTGCTCGCGAGAGTTTTTTTTTTCTTTTTGTTTTTTTCTGCAATAGACTTTAGGCCAGGCGTAATTTCAGCCACCTTCTCATCTGCCCTAAATCAACCATTTTTCGTGATCGTAATGTATTCTGGCCGATTGGCTCAACTATTAAACGAATCATGATGAAGTGCACACAAGAAATCCTAAGGGTAGATAAAAAACAAGGGATTTTTTGCTGCGAAAGAAACCATTGAATCGAGGCTGATTTAATGTCGACACTTCCACCGTGAATAGTGTAGCATTGATTCAACGTTGAATCAATGTTATGTGCTACCTGAGTTGCGACCAACCTTGAAAGGATCCAAAGGCACAATATTCATGTGTTTTTGCGCTTGTGTCTTGCTGGGATTGAGAGAAGGAGATGTCAATCTAAATTTTCCAAACATTGGTCAAATCCGATTCGACTTTCATGAGCTAGGTTTCATCTTTTTATTGCCATATTCCCCAAAATTGCATTATGTACATTTCTAACAAGTAAGCAGTCGCTCAATTAATCCCAAAATTCAATTTAATAAAAAATGATGCTGATCCTTTGCCTCGCCAGGTTGAACCAATCAGAGGGAGGAACAGAATTATTCATTGATTCCTCTCCTCAACGAGGAATACGAAGTCCTTGGGATGATTGATGACTATGCAGCCAGAACCTTCGGCTTTGGGGTAGGGGCGTCCAGTCGTGGTGCGGAATGATAGTTTTTGCATGAAGATAGTCACGAACAAGAAGAGTTCCATTTGAGCCAGAGACTCGCCCAGGCATTTACGCTTTCCTGTTTGAGGAGAGCATGTTTGACGATAATTTTGCCGAAGAACAATATTGATACATGTGGTGTGCATAGTTAATCCAACGGCAAATGACTTACCGAGGGAGAATGGAAGGAAACTGGGTACTTTGGTCTTCACGGATCCATCTGGATTCAAGAATCGTCCCGGATCAAACTTTTCTGGATCGGGCCAGAATTTGGGATCCATGTGACACGACCAAAGGTTTGCTAAGAATGATGTCCCCTATGGAGGATGAATGGAACATTCAACGAATGTACTTTCTCGGCAAGGAATATTCAATTCCAGAAGAAAATGCAAATCTTTTCTCAGGTTTAAAGATAACAACAAGGAGACAAACAATGATGACAACATTTGTCTTAATGTTTCCTACTTCTGATTTTGTGCGGCCATAACTCTCATAGATAAGGCATTTGAAATTCAATACCCTTTTCAGGTAGCACTGCATGGTAGCAATTTTAAAACCTCTTATTAGACACAAACTGCTTGTTGATTGATTCGCTTCATCCTGAGTAATTTCAGTTTCAATATAGGTCAAGTTCGATGTGGATCAAGTCCTCTTCCGAAAGGAAAACATCTATTTGAAATTAGCAATTGCAATAGAATGTGCGCTTGAAATGCAATTGGCGCTTCGAAAGAAAACATCAAACTCCTGGATTGTGTGCCAAACTATTTTACCCTAATTCCATGAATATATTGTGGTATATCTGCAGGGGCCCTGATAGCGAGCCAGTTGTACTCGCTTTTCCAAGTCAAACGAAACATCATTTACAAAACAGCATGTGTCATGCAGATTGAAAGCATGCCCAGGTGAGCTGCGACAACGCTAAAAGCTAACAGAAAGTAGACCAAATGGAATATATTAGCAAATAGGCATGTTGCACTCTCCTTTATACTTTAGTCACGAGACAACAGGGTGATCTGGCTAATTTCGAAGTCGTCCATCTGCAATGCCCTTTTGGATATTAAGAAGTTGGAGGAATTTTGCTTCGAAAGAGTTTTCTTAGAGCTGTTTTTTTTCGATTCAATCATTGACACGTGACGACACTGAATAAAAAATTGTCACCTGAGGGGGGCGGATATGTTCTCGAATGGAGGCGGAAAAGCTTTGAAAACACTCAAAGAAAAATTGCTTTCGTGAGATTGGGTATGTCAATAGGAGTGAAATGATTTGTAGTTTTTGAATCCGAAATATTGAATTTGGAAACTTGGGTATGTCCATCAAAATACTCGATCTTCAATTTCAATGAGGTACAGTTGCTCAGATATTCCGATTGTTTTTTTTTCTGTCTTCTGTCCCTTTCAGATAAGTTGCGCAGCCACTTTTATGTCCTGTCGCTAGAGTACCTATCATCGTGGAAGCGTTTTTCCGTCCTTTCCCATGCCAATTAATAAATGACATTAAAAACAAGCAAATCATGAAACTAACTCATCCGGTAATCGGGAAAAGCGGAAATAGTCCATTAGAATCGTCCCTAAATTGAAGCAATTTTGTACCAAAATCTCTATCTCCATTCTTTCACACAACTTTCCATTCTGTAGGTTGCCATCAGGGTTTGATTAAATATGACTTATACCGAAAGAGTATCTAATCACCTTAGGGAATCGATACCCGACGACTTCCGCCTCTTCCAAAGACTCGTGAGGCAACGGGTAGGGGAAAAGGCACACCAGCCGGTGAGTCTCCATTATGAAGGCTTCCGTGTAAGGCATTCTGTGCGGCATGGAACAAGAAGGAATGAAAATGAAAAAGGATGAGGAAGGAAATAAAATACGAGAACGGTTTGAAAAAAGCCAGTTAAGAAAAGGTACTCGAAAGTGAGTCGTATGACAGGCACAAATTAAAACAAAAAACAAATGAAAATTCTAAATAAAGGAATAAAATAATAGAAGGACTTGACATCAGATTTTAGAATGAAGAATTGGCGGCCCATTTGGCCCGTTTCGAATAAATACATTTTGCCGATATGTGATGATGCAAGATGCAAACACTGCAAACCAGGAAAGAGAAGAGATCATGTTAATATTTCCAAGGAAGCACGCCGCTGCAAATATTCAAGAATGACTCTTGTTCTTGTTGTGTTTGATTATTATTTCTGAGATTGAATGCTCTCATAAATTTCCTTTGTATCCCCAGAAGAAATGTGAAAATAAAGTCTTAAAATATGTAATAATGTGTTCTTTAAATTGAAATTCAAGAGTTCTGATTCGAGATTCATAACTTTGTTACCACAAACCAAGTTTATGAATTGGCGAGGGAGAATGATGCCTAGAAGGGTTTTTCTACTGGTTCTACTAAAGCCAAAAATAGAATTTCTCCACAAAGTGGAATTACTGCAAAAAAGTCTATTTGACACTTCAGACCACTTTTGCAATTAAGAGTCTGTGAGCTCCTCGTTTAGTTCATGAAGGCGAGATATGTGGCGATTCATTTCCAACCAAAATACCTTGATTCAATTCGCATTTTTTAAATCTTTATATCTGAACGAACCCCACCCTTTCAGCACACACAAAGACTGCAAAAATCATGTTTCATGTCATGTCAAACCTGTGTCGATCATCGAGAGAAGGAAGTCTGTCACGCCCAACAATTTTGTCAACTTCGACCTGAAGTTTCTCCTGAATTTCAGGGTGGCAGAGGAGAAACAAGACGCACCACCGAATGGTATGCGACGTCGTCTCGCTCCCCCCGATGAACAGATCCGAGATGTTCACACGCAACTGGAACTCTACGATGGATACGAGCTACTTCCAATTCTCTCCTCCATCCCTTCCACGATTTCAAGATTTCGAACTATACCCGAGAAGTTGGGGTTGACCTCCCCTCGAGCCTTCTGCTGTGCCATTTCCGTGAGGTAAGCGTCGATGTAGTCGTTGGAGCCTCCGGACAAAGGTAGCTTCCGTTTATGTTCCTCCACTTCATCCTGGGGAGGAAACTAAGTCAGAAAACTATTCCCCCGTTATCTAGTAACTGAAACACTATTACTAGTAGCCGTGTTTTAGTAATATATCCTGGAAACTGAAGGACTGCTTCGAACTGTATGTATCCATGAACATCTTAACTTTCAACGATCTCATAGGACGGTGAGATTTTCTCATCGCATTAAAAGAGAAGATTTTCACATTGCAGTAAGGGTGAGACCTGAAAATATCAGCTGTCCGCCGTAGCAATTTCTCCTCGTCGTAAAGACGGGAGGGACTAAATGCTAATGCCATATGAACTACCGACGTCCCCCCGTCTCATCCTCTGGTCTGGTCAATTTCTAAAGTACTATTTACCAACCGTTGAGACCATATCGTGTGAGCTAAGCACCCAATGAACCAAGCAAATCAATCCACCAACCACCCCAATACTGGACGTGAGTGGATTCTGCGTTGCCTTTCTTCCTCATGGATCTACATACCGCGAATAATTGGAAAATGGCAGCCATGTTCCGGGCGATGCGTCGAGATGCTAGCAACGTCGGAGGCCATATGGAGGCTAGCAGAGGAGAAAATTGAAGGTGGCGGACGACGTCGAAGTCCCCGAAGACTTCCATGATTCGGTTCATGAAGTCTTGCATCTTCGCGTCGTTGTGAGAGAATTGCTTGTCTGTGAGGCAGAAACACGAATACGGCATTTACCCTTTACGGCATGTACCCTTTACGTTGAAAAAAAAATGAAATGAAGATTTCAAGGTGTGAGCTCGTTCTCGAACCTGCAGTCATTTTCCAGATGATGTTCAGGATGGCGAGGTTGAGGCGGGGGCCGAGATCTTGAGGTTCATGCCGATTCTCAATGAGGAATTGGCAGAGATCGACGGCGGCATCTTGGATCACGGAATCCAAGGCAGCCTTCTTCCCGAGGCCAAAATCCTTCAGAACTCGCATCGTGAAGCGGCGATTTTCCTGCCACAGGCTTCCCGATGAAGCAGCGAGACCTTTAAGAATCAGACTTATTCTTTGATTCCATCTCATCGTATCGCACATGGCCAATCTGCTCATCCTGCTATACCAGTTGCTCGAGCAGCAGAATCACCATGTTGAAGATTTCAAATAAGTTCCGCACTTGATTTCGACAAATTTGATAATATCAGCCCCGACTGAAAATTTCTTTTACATCAATGATTTCCAATTTCCGTCTTTCCCAGTTGGTACAACAAACTCCTTTTCATTCTCGAGGCGAGAATTTAAAGGCCTAAATAATTTAATTATTCGCCGGACCCCAATTCCCGCTCATTTCGAACCTCGAAAGCGCAAACCCACGCGAACCTCAGACGCCTACGTCCGCCGAAACATTTTTGAATGCATGTTACCCTTATCCCGGAAGGAGACTTGTCGAAACGCAGTGAGGTCGGGCCGGCCGGAGAACTCGGCCCTCCCGAAGACATCCCGGACGGATTCCCAACCGCAGAGCACGACGACGTCCTTGATTATGGTCGAAAAGTTGTAGACGTCCCCGTGTTTCTTCCTCGGGGCGTCCAGCGTGGAGGGCTGGCACCCGTCTATGAGGAGGATCGGCTCGCCCCATGGACCTGGAAACGAATTACGAATTTTTCACATTTGGGTTAAGCAAGCGAATGTTCGGGGTGAAAGGGTGATGATCTGACTGGAAAATCTCCCGATATTGAAACATTAAAATCTGAAATCAGCTGACATCTTTGATGCTTTGAGTTTTTTTCCCGCGGACAATTCGGCTGTGGAACTTTTTGGCCAAGGCCAGATGGGCCAAGTAAAATCAGGTGAATAAACTGAAAAGTGTCATTTCTTTCGACGAGTAGTTTATTTTTCTTTGCATTTTTTTTGGCTTTGGGAATTGTTTGGTGGGGTTGTTGCCTTGGTGTTCGAGAGGGAGTTCCTGGTTTGTTCCTCGTTTCCGTTCGGATTTGCAGGCTTGGATGAATTCCTAGGGACGTAACACGAAATACTTTGGTATCGCCGTTTTTCTGAGGCTAGGAAGGATTAGAGGATTATCAATAAATACCGTGACAATTTCTGGCCAAAACCGCACGGGAAAGGTTCTCGGGAACCCAAGTTCCCCCCACAAACTTGGAGGATAGACGCGGAACGAACATCAGCTCTGGTCCGAAATTCGTATTCCCAAGTCATGAATTAACTCCCGGCACACAAATGCGGTCCATCTATGCAATAGTAAAGTCGTGAAGGAAACTCCTGGAATTCTGTCTGGAGCCTTGCATCAATTTCAACCGATGAAACCGATCCGGTCGATCAAATCTTAATCAAAGCGAATCCGAAGAAAACCGTTCCTCATATTCGAGGATTTAAAAAATTCAAAGAAGTGTAATTTAGTTCGACCTAAAAACAAATCGAAGACAGCAGCAATTTAGTCTCCCGGTTGTTGAACTTTCACCAGAGCATCCACTTAGATTTTCCTTCGATCCTCTAAAAAGAAAATGGGCGTGTCCTGGGATCGGTGCATTGCCATGGGCCGAGTGGGTCTGACGAGCAACGGAAAGAAATCCCGCAAACCAAATGACCCTTTCTCATATTTCGATAGAATAAAATTCTGCACGTGAAGCAATGGGCAATCGAGTAAGAAAGAATCTGAAAATCTCCCTCGGTCATCCATCGTCGTCAATGGCAGGATCGCCGAGACGCAATTGGATCGATCACGTGTTTCGATGCTTTCTCTCCTCTACGAGAAATTGGAAGGGTTTAGGAGGATTCACTGCGAAGCTGCCAACAGCCTCGTCTTTCGGATGAGAAAGTCCCGAGTTTATCTTCAGGTATTTATACTCTCCCAGGATGAAAGGAGCGTATCCCAATATCGGGAATCCCATGGGCCTGGAAGCATGGGGCAGTGATGGGTAACGATAGGTAACGAGTAACGAACAACGAGTGGTAGTGGAGTGGTAACAGTGAATTCACGCGTGAACGATTTCTTCGCTTCCTGATTTCGTAAATAGAAAAATTATTTTACCTGGTGGAAGTTTGGACCAAATCCGGAACTTTTTCACGAAGAAGTGAAGCAGATAGACGAGTATAATATAAATGAAGATCAGCGTAACACCCATCGCCATCGGTCACGACGCACGAAGTACTGAGCACGACATCGCAGAGGGAACATCCGCAAAAACGACCTGGAATGCGCCCTGCCCACCGACGAAGCCGTGCGCAGCTCTCAAGGAAGATCGAACGAGAGGGAGGACTCCGAGAGAGAAGACTCCGAGAGGGAGGACTCCGAGAGGGAGGACTCCGAGAGGTCCTCACACTCATGAAAGAATGATGATGCCACAACTAAGGAAAATTCATACTGGCTCGGCCGTCGCCCAGGATAAAAAGGGCCGCGCTGGCTGCCGGTCTACCGGTGCAGTCAGTGAAAAGTTGGCGTCTGGAGGCTCTCACGTTCCTGTTCCTCACCAGGCAGAAGTGGGAGTAAGGGCTACTGGTGAAAGACCCAACTCTGTCCCAGGGGCCGGAGTTGACAGTCGACCCTCCTCTGCTACAGAAAATATGCCCCCCGCACGCAAACGTATGAAGTGGACAAAATCCATGAACATTGACGTCATGCGGGTTTACTATCAAGCACGATCCGATGCGCCAGGAGCGTACCGGAAGAAAATGCTCGAGCNGAAAATGCTCGAGCTCTGGAATCAATCTCACTCAGAGCTGGGTATCAATGAGCAACGACTTGCGAACCAGAGACTCTATATCGAGCGGAACAACATGCTCTCAGAACTGGAGCGGGAAAACATCAAACAGGAAGTCCTGAACACCCTCCAGCCAGACAAACCAGAATGTAGTGTACCCGAAAACGAGGATGCATCACCTGAAGAGAATCCACTTCATGTTCCACAGAGGGCAATTGAGGCTCCTTCAGAGCTAGAAGCGCACTCTGAAGAACTAAGAATCGCCTTCCTCGACCATCTGGAAGATCTGCGGTACCTACAGATGTCCGACCGACCCCGACTAAGACCTCTGAAGCTCAACTTTGCCATCTCCAAAGACATCGAGGAGATCAGCCAGATCATCAGTTCCTGCGACCTTGCGGACTGCGATCAGACTGAGCTGAACCACCGTGCCTTTGCAGCTGCCATTACCATCCATCAG